ACCCTTTTTTTTAATGATGTTTACTTTGAATTTATATTAGTTCACACAAACACTCCATCCATGCTTTTGTTCCGGCCCTCCGGTCCAGTTTAAGAACCCATTGTGGCCCTCGAGTCAAAAAGTTTGCCCACTCCTGTTCTAGACTATATACAAATCTTTTTCTTACAGCCATGATGTAGTAACAAAAACCAAATTTATCCTCAAGCCTTGAGTAACCAGGAAACTGGACAAAAGGTATGAAATAACTTTTTTTGGATTTTGAACAGAGATCACATAAGACTATGATCCCCAAGAGAAGGAAAACAAATGAGATGAGCCCTCCAATCACCCCTGCGTTTTGCCAGAAGGCACATGCGAGACAGTGTATGCAAAGCAGGGAGGGAGATCTCAAGGCAGAGCATGGTGATTTCTCTGGACTGAAGGACTGGAGTACAGGAAGCCTGCATAACTAGAAATTGTGGGACAAGTTCTAGACACGAGGGAGATAAGCAGGAAAAAGCTATGGAAGTGTGCAAAGGGATCCCTTGAGTCTTTGCTGAATACTACTACATGCTCCTCTATAGAGGGAAACTCCGTGAAGTCGGGCAAAAGGAAGTTTTTGAGAACTCCCAGAGCTCACATGGGGCTGGGAATCATTTGATCTACCTCTAAATAGTCCTCATTGATTCCTTGGGACATGCAGTACTGACTCCAGAAGAGCCAAAAACTAGTAATGAGGCTAAACTATCCCTATAACAAAAAAGCTTTTCTAACAAAGCTTAAAAACAAGCCTTGAAAGGATCAAACGGAACTGTAACATGACTGCCTATCAGAACAAAGCCAAACGCAAAATCCAGACACTCATAACTGAACACTGCAATGTCCAACATCCAATCAAAACTCACTAAATATGCCCAGAAGCAGAAAAATGTGACCCATAATCAGCAGAAGAATCAGTCAATAGAAACAGACCAACTGAGTTCTGGTCAAGATGACAGAGTAGATAAACACTGTGCTCGCCTCCTCCCACAACCACATCAAAATTATAGGAAATTATAAAACCACCACCCTTGAGAACCACCTGAAGATGAGCTGAACGAACTCCTATAACTAAAGATATAAAGAAGCCACATCAAAACTGGTAAGAGGGGTGGAGATGCAAAACAGACTGGTCCCACACTCATGTGTGGCAGTTAAGATTCAGGAGAAAACTATGTTGTACCCTTGAAAGTAATATAATATTGAATGTAAACTATAATTTAAATTTTTTTTTAATTTTGAAGATTCGGGAGGTATATCTCAGCTGTGGAGGTTCCCGTGAGGAGCAAGGGGGCCCAGTCCAACACTGGGCTCCCCAGCCCAGAGCACCAGTGCCAGGACAGAGTCCCTACAACATCAGGCTGTAAAAATCAGCAGGGACTCGACTGGGTGAAACGAAGGACTGCTGTAGACCCGGGCATCCTCTTAAAGAGCCCACGCAGAGCTGCACTCACTCATACTCACCTTAAGCTCCAGTGAAGAGACAGCAGCCCAAAAAGCACCAGGGACATACAGGGAGAAACTGAATTGTCTAGCTTCAGTACCAGGGCTGGAGGGAAAGCACTCTCCCAGACAGAAGTGCTGGCAGGGACCATGATTCCTTTGTTGAGCCCTCCCCACACACAGCCCACAGGCACAGGCAGAGGAGGGTGCCAAGTCTGAGCCTCCATCAAACTGCCTAACACCCTGGTGATTGATTCCCTGAGACCCCACCCCAACCAACTCGTGCTGGAGCAGAATCTCTTTTAGTGGCAGTCCTACACAAGTGGCCGGCTTCAGCCAGTGCTGAGGGTTTTCCTAAAATCTCTCAAAGGTCCACAAACCCCAAACAATGGCTGGTCTTGGCATATACTGTACCGCTTGTTAAGCGGACCCAAACCTGGCACTAGTGGCAGCCGACCTCAGCTCACAGCTAGCCTCACCCAGGCATTCTTAAATCCAGAGCAGGCATATCCAACTGCGTATCACTTTGTAGCTCCTCTGAGGTGAACCCAGGCCAGGCACAGGCAGCGAATGACCTGGGAGGTCTAGACTGAGAGCCCCTCCCAAGCCCAGAAACAAAACACCTTCTGCGCATGGGCCACGAAGTTTCAATCGCACTGTACATGCGCGCCTGCACGTGGTATTTTGTGGAAGAGCCACACTCAAGGGGCCAGAGAGCCGCATGTGGCTCGCGAGCCGCAGTTTGCCGACCACTGGGTTAGAGCATCATCCCGATATGCAAGGTTGTGGATGCAATCCCCGGTCAGGGCACACACAAGAATCAACCAATGAATGCACAAAGAAATGAAACAACAAATCAATATTTCTCTTTCTCTCCCCACTTCCTCTCTTTCTCTAAAATCAATAAAAAATTTTTTAAAAAGAATCTACCAATGAATGCACAAATAAGTGGAACGACAAATCAATGTTTCTCTCTCTCCCCCTCTCTAAAATCAATGAATTAAAATAAATAAATAAATAGATAACCAATGAAAATATATTTTAAAAGGTAGATGAAAAAACATTTATTTCAGACCAATAGAAGCTGAGAGGATTCATTATCAAAAGATCTGCAGTATAAGAAATGTTAAAGGAAGTTTTTCAAGCACAAAGGAAATGATAACAAATACAAACTTGAATGTACACAAGGGATTAAAAAAAGGGGGGTACATACAAAAGATTTTTTTCTCATTTAAAAAATTTCTTTAGAAAATACTTGTTCAAACAAAAATATCAATATATTTTGGAATATAAAGTAAAAATCTATGACAACAAGAGCACAAAAGATAAGGGGAAAGGACAGAAGAACATTACTGTAAGGGTCTTATATTATACAGGTTGAGTGACGCCTTGACTGGGATTAAAACAACTGGTCAAAACTCCAGCCCAGCTGGTGTGGCTCAGTGATTGAATGTCGACCCATGTATCAAGAGGGCACTGGCTCAATTCCCAGTCAGGGCACATGCCTGGGTTTCAGGCTCAATCCCTGGTGAGGGGTATGCAAGAGGCAGCCAACAGATGTTCTCTCTCATCAATATTTCTCTCTCTCCCTTTCCCTCAAAAAAAAATCAATAAAAATGTTTAAAATAATAATACAAAGAGCACATAATCTGCCCTTAGAAAATCAAGCTCTGACTACATGTATTCTTAAGTGATCAAAGACACAAGAGGGAGCTCGGCTGGTGTGGCTCAGTGTTTGAGCATCAACCTATGAACCAGGAGGTCACAGTTCGATTCCCAGACAGGGCACATGCCAGGGTTGCAGGCTCGATCTCCAGTGTGGGGCGTGCAGGAGGCAGCTGATCAATAGTTATTCTATTTCTTCATGTATAAAAAGAGGCTAATAACAGCACTACCTCCAAGGACTGTGGTGAGACTCATGTGTTGATGACCATTAAGTGTATATCTCCTGGCAGACATAAGTGCTCAGTATACATGCGTTATCTTTCTCTTCTCTGCCACTCTGGATATAGCAATCTAGCCCCAAGTGAATAATGGCTTATGTGCGATGCGTAAGAAAACCTTGTTTTGGTTCATTTAATTACTATGGGCTCTCTGTGGGGCTGATGAAATCAGGAACAAAGATTAGCAACATTTCAATACTTAACCTTCATTCATTCAAAAGACAAGTACAGTATACCTTTTGTGACGAGAGCTGGGAATATAATAAGACCTAATTCCTACTGGATAAAATGTAGATTGCTAACAGACATGAACACGCACATATCTCCAGAATTACAACTGACACAAAGCTCTTAGTGAGGCAAACACCTTTCAAAGTATTAACCAGCTCAGCAGCACCATCCATCAGCCACAGCTGGACCGAATCACAGGAAAATCCCTAACCTAAGCCAAATTGATCAGGTTCCCACTCCTAGAAATTTGAATTGAGGCTGAGAGACAAAACTTTGGTCTGTGAATAGCTGGAATAATAACATGAAAATGCAAGAATTACAGGACTGCTCTATTCTGCCACACAAATGAAGAAGCAGGAAAAGCAGGTCTAAGGAGATAAGAAAGTCTGAGCCTCAAGGGCTTCCCAGGCTGGATAGAGACCCTTCCAGACACCTGACAGTATTCCTGCCCTTGGGCTCCATAAAGTTTTGTACCAAAAAAAACCCAAAACTCTTTTTAGCTTAGCCTGAATGACTTAAACAAATTTCTACTGTTACTCACTACCAGAGAGTCCTAACAAACACAAACACCAGGCAATTGGTGGCTTTGATGCTGCCATATCCTGAGGCATGGAGCAGGAGTCTCCTCTCCCAAACCAGAACTCGGAAAAGGTCATAGAAAGGGCCCTCTCTCTTTTCCCTCCTCTCCACTGGCTGCAGCATGCAGCTTCACAAGTGGTCAGGGTCCCAAACTCACCCCTTATCCCATCTGTTTAGTGCTCTCCCTAAATGATGGCACGGTCCCCAGGCTTGACCACAGAAGCCTACAGAAACCACAAACTTCCTGAAATTCAGTACATTTCTAAGAAAGAATTAAAGACAGACAGTAACTTTGATTCTAAAAATATACATATGATACAGCTTCCAGAAAGATGGAGCACACATACTTTTCCCTAATGCTTTCACTTAGTACAAAAATATCCTTCAGAAACGAACGGAGAAATCAAGACATTCTAAGATAAATGAAAACAAAGGGAAGCTGCTGCCCGAGGTTCTAAAGGAAGTCCTCTAAACCAGTGGTCGCCAACTTTTCGAACCTCACAGACCACCAGTGGTCCGCGGATCATCGGTTGGTGACCACTGCACACAGAAAGGAAACAATAAAAGGGGGAACCCTGGAACATCAGGAAGGAAAAAAGAACATCTACACAGAAAACTACCCAAAAAACACCTAGGCCTATTAAATGAATTCAGCAAGGTCACAGGATACAGATAAACATACAAAACTCAATTATGTCTACATTATAGCAATGAATATACAGACACCTGAAATTAAAAACAACAGCCAATTACAATACCTTAAAAAGAAAAAAACAGGAAATACGTAGGTGTACATCTAACAAAACATATACAGGATCTGTATACTTGACAACTACAAAAACTGATAAAAGGAATCAAAGAAAATCTAAATACAGGGAGTCATACTGTGTTACAAAAAATAAACAAAATGTATGTAGATACAAATGGTCTCACCCCCTCCACCAGCACCAGCTGGGTACAACCCACAGAGGTCTTGTTGGCTTTCGTTGCTTCTTCTCGGAAGACAGTGATAAGTTCCTCCAAACGCCTTAATTTTACCTCTTCCAGGACATCATCCTTCAGCCTGTGATATGCCCGTGTCTTCTATAAAAAACATTTTTTAAAAAGGGAGGTCACCAGGAACCTATAGAATTCACAGCGGGAGACCATGTTCATTCCACCTGCAAGTTAGACATGTCTACAGGAAACCCAGGCCCTACCCCAAGGGTTCTCTAGTTCTGAGAGCCTTCTAAGAGAAAAAGGTAGCTATGCAGTGGAATCACCATTTTTGCAAGGCCTAAACTTTAAATTTAGCACATGAAAATTACAGACTCAAAATTGTTTTCGACATTTTTATAGAATGTCCTAAGAATAAAGATACATTTGTACATATACTAAGTAACTCATGTACCAAGTTACTTAGCCATGTGTTTATAAAGTCACAAGATGCAAAGCAGCCTAAATGTTTATCAATAGGTAACTAGTAAAACAAATTATTATTTACATAATGGATATTACACAGCTGTTAAAAAATAGTAAGATAGTTTTATATATACTGATACGATTGCTCTCCAAAATATACTTTTTTTAAAGATTTTTTAAATTGATTTTTAGAGAGAGAGGAAGGGAGGAGGGAGGGGGAGAGAGAGAAAGAGAGACAACAATGTGAGAGAAAAACATCAATCGGTTGCCTCCTGTATGCGCCCCAAGTAGGGATCAAGCCCACAACCGAGGCATACGCCCTGACCAGGAATCAAACCAGCAAACGTTTGATGCACAGGATGACACCCAACCAACTGAGTCACACCAGCCAGGGCCCCAAAATATACTCTTAACAGAAATAAACAAGGTACAAATGAACATGTATAATAACTCTGGGGTACAAAGAATACATATAAATATGTTTTAAATACATGAACTATCTCTAGAAGTTTGCAGAAGAAACTGCTAAGAGCAGCTGCCTTCAGGGAAGGAACTAAAAAACTAGGCAACCTGAGAAGAAGGAAGAATTTCTCACTACATACGATTTTGACCTTTTGAGTTTTATACCACGAGCATATATTACCTAGTTCAAAAAAAAGAGAAGAAAATTTATCCTTGGCCAGCCGGTGTGGCTCAATTAGTTGGGCGTCATCCCAGGCACCGAAGGTTGCCAGTTCAATTCTAGTCAGGGAACATACAGTAGTTGCGGACTTGATGACCAGTAGGGGGTGTGCAGGAGGCAGCAGATGGGTGTTTCTCTCTCTCCCTCTCCTTCCCTCTCTCTCTAGAAATCAATAAACTATTCTTTAAAAAAAAAGAAAATGTATCCTTGAAAAGCCTTTACATCATCCAACACCATGGTATGCGTGCATGTTTATACTAGTACACACACACACACACACACACACACACACACACACACACA